TCGAACCCCAGGTCGTTTATTTTACATCTCGATGTGAGGAGCCTTTGCTCGCTTTACTATATCAGCGCTGATTGGCTGATTAAAATCAAGTGACAGTAGGGAATCAATCCGCGGGGCGAATACACTCTACATATAACGCGATTAAGACTGATATTTTGGGGTGGTCTGCATTGTCATTTTCGTCAACCAAATTTTGGGTTCAAAAACCGCAATGAAGGAGTGGATTTTGAGAATAATCAAAGACTTTAATGGCCATTCAATAAGTGCATTCCTGAGGTGTATGATCACAGAGGTCTTGGTAGTTTAGGTATGATCATAGAAGGCTTGGTAAACAGGGACTTCAGCAACTTCCCCCGATCAGCATATCTACTAGGCCAAACTACCGGATAATACACATTACCCTCGAGTTCTATATTCAACGAATCTATACTTAACAGTAGTCGCTGAATCTCTCTCCCCTTGTTTGTTGGACGGCGGTGTGAAATCGTCCCTAAGTTTGGGAATAAGTGACAACATGTGTTTTCCCTGGTACTTACGGACGGTGGGGCGAGGCTCGGCCTCACGGTCACACTGCGGGACGTCACGCGGTGGTGTGGTCCCGGCCACCCGCGCCAGCTGCGTGGCGTTGTCCCGCACCAACGGGTCCACGTCAGAATTCCCACGGTGGATCAGGTCGGACACCGTGGCCGACCGGAACACGAACCTGTCACATATCTTGTTGTTGTCTCTCTCTCTCTCTCTCCACATAAGATAGATATACGGGATACTCCTACTGCAAAAAGATGAATTTCTATCTTTCTGAAGGTAATTTCTTGTTTTTTTTTCTTGTATTATTCTCGAGAGAGATACAAAGAAACTCCGATTATCAGAATTGGTTTTTATATAAATATTAATGAAGAATAATTTTTAGTTTAGAATATTGATTACTTTTGTGTGTGTGTAGTAAAAAAATATATATATAAATATTCATTTTATACATAAACATTATCACTATAAGAAACTTTCGTGCAAACCTCTACGTACAACTGTAATTTCCCGAAAGCTTCTGGTATTAAGAAGGAAAAGTTGAGGTGTAATAATTCTATTTTATTGTAATAGACCACATATACTGTATATATTTTAAGAACAACCAAAATGTGCGTCAAATTCCGTGTCTCTTTCTACGCGTTTCAACTTGAAGCATAGTGAAAAGGAAAATCATCGGGTAGATCATTCTAGAATTGATGGGAAATTCCTGGAACTGCCGGGGTATAGAGGCATGTTTCTGGTGAAACCGTTCTGGGAATTTTCCATCAATTTTAGCATGAATGAGAATATTTTGAACCTCGCTATGAAAAAAATGCAGAGCTCTAATGATGTAGTAGAACAGTGTTTACCAAAGGTTGGTAGATCTCGAGTTCCTCCCAGGCCAGTCTACAAATAGAAACATTAATGTTATTAAGAGCCTTAACAAAGCTTAAAATCTGTAATAATTCTGAAAATATGCAACTATTCCTCAAAATTTGATCTCAAATAGACATCACGGCGTACATTATCAGCGTGTAATTCATTTAAATGTCATCAGAACCCCATTTAAATTTGAAGTATTTTCTGGTGAATACAAAAGGACCACTGTTGTAGAGAGAGATGACGTAATATATATATGGGGTGGGGTGGTTACGTAGGGAAGCAGAGAAGCGCGGCCGAAGCTCGGTTGAGGATCTCCTGTCGCACCCGACTGATACCGCAGCGCAGCTCTTCGTTTAGGACAGCTAGCACGGCCTGGGGGTCGGAGAGTGCCGCGGTGAGATGCACAAGGCGGGCAGCGACCATCCGGACGTCAGGCTCGGGGTTACCCAGGTGGAGGCAGGTCGGCCGCACCACCGTCGACAAATGGAACACTACCTCATCCTCCAGCCGCCGCACAACGACCTCGAACGTTTCCAGGGACTTCAGAATAACGTCCGGGTGGGAGTGGGCCAATAAGCTCGGTAGCAATCTCAGCAATCCCGGGACATCATGAAGCTCTGATGAATTCTTTACAGCGTCCAGCAAATCTTGAACCCCTTCAATCTGCCGTTGTTCACAGTGCGAATGAACTTTTCTCATAATGTTCGGGTCGAAGCGAATATCTTCGCATTTATACAGGTCCTGGATCACTTTGGCTGCAAGCCCATCGCCCTGACTGCCTAATAGGGTCAGCACTTGCTCGGAGCCTCCTGCACCCTGGACGGCCTTCTTCAATGCCAGCTGCAAAATCCTACTGTCTTGTTGGGCAGCTTGGCGAGCTAATACTGCGGCAACATCGCTCATGGAATCCTGCACAGATAAATGATGGTTATTCGTGAACATAGTTTGTATTTTGAATAATTTGTGTGAATATTTTAACACACACACATATATGTTTAGTTTTAATACTACATAACTACGCTCCTTTACTATGCAACTCACTGTTCCAAACCAAAGTGGTAACTTTAAAGAGATTGATTTAAACTATAACAAATATGTATATATTTAAGGAAAAAAATTGTTCAGGGATAATTCTCTTATATTTAAAGAAACTTCTAAAATTTAAAGAAAAACCTTATCCATTAACGATTTTTTGCCTAATATTATGACGCGCAAGTGATTATAATTTTCTAATGTCGATATAATGTTAAGAGAAAATTGATACTTTATGGAAGGCGGTTGGGTGCTTTATAGAGAATCTCAGTAAGGTACGATCGTAGTTCAAAACAAGCTACACCGATCTATATGGTTTTTCCACTTTGAGAGCCCCCAAATTGAAGCTTGAAACAAAAATATTCAACGAATACAGCTATTATCAGGAAAGGATAACTATGATATACAATCTGTCTGTGGTATGTGCCTGTAGAGAAGGCGACAATTACCTGATGAGGAAATTTCTCCGAGATGAGATACCCAAGACAGCAATAGCTTCCCATCCTTACAGAAGCATTGTCCGAGCAAAGACCAACGTTCCGGAAGATCTTCAAGAAGGCTGAAGGAGCGGAAGAATGGCGCAGATAGCAGGCTAGCACCAGACTGGCCGCTCGCCGCACCACCGCCTGTGGATGCCCGAGGTTACAGATGACGCTAGCGGTCAGGAAGCCAAGTTTGGCATCCAGCTTGCGTGAGGGAGTTCCTTGGATGACAAGGCCGATCGTCCAGAGGGTCTCCAGCCTCACCTCGCTGCTCTCGCTCACTACCAGGTCCCCCATCAACTTAAGGAACGTATGCCGGTACTTGTGGGAGAAGGGCAACGTGCCACGGTTGTTATGGACCATGTTCTTGAGCGACGTCAGTTGAGGGAGGACGTCGGCCCCTGACCTAGAGAGAACGGCAAAGATGCGCTCTGCCTTCTCATCTTCTAGACGATGGGCTTCTGACATCTGGTAACACTCTTGTGGAGGATTCAGACTCCAGAAAATGGCAAAATGTCATCATTGTTAACTTTATCTCTCTCAATCTATGTTTTCAACCAATCGGGAAGCAATGTCGTCACTCAACTGTAATAACAGCCATCAATTCTTCCTCAAGTAACTGTGAAATCTTCAACAAGAATTCTTCATGGTGTGATCCACCTCCATTTTTAAAAATATTTTGGTACAATATTCCTTTGGTTTATTTAACGAGTTGGATGAAATATCAATATCTAACTCTAGGGTATTCAAAAGAAAAAAATCGTTGATTTTATATAGAACGAAAAACTCAGTAGAAAGGTATACTGATGGTGCTACCACACATTTTGATTCTCTCGCTTTCTTTCCAAAGTTTTGAGAATTCTCGAAACCTGACAATCCCTTAGAACCTCTCTCTGTTCTATAATATTTTATTCATCCAACTTTCTTATTATGTTTCTGTAGGAAGTCGGCTAATTTTTTCACCTCTTTCGCCTTCTGAGTCGAATAAAGTCACCAGATACTATCTATTTTTTTCCCTCTCTCTCCTGAGTGAATATAATTTGGACTTTAACAAGTATCGAAAATGCTATTCAAAGTGGCCGCAGGTTTAAAAGAGACTCTGATAAGGAAAATATTATAAATTAATTGTACACGATGGAAAATATCAAAATTTTGAAAACCGATAATCATATATATTTGCAAAGCTTACAAGTACAAGAGTTGTTAACAAAGCTTTACAAATATTTTTATGTAAGTCATACTTCAACGATCAAACAAGGCTTCCTGAAATATCAAGGAAAATGTATTTAAGGCAACATTCAGTTGCATGATCAAGGAATTATTTTTTCTCACTATGATCCCGCACATTTTCCCATTGCAATACTTTTTTGCGTACTCACGCACTTTTGGTCTCAAATACATTTCACTTGGTATTTCAAGAAGCCTCTATAACCACTTATTTCAGTCAACGAGTTACAGCCTACGTCGCTGTGACGAGAACCAGAAGTCTGAAACGCGTATGTGGCTGCCCTTTCTCTTGATTCATTAGGAAAAATGGCATTTAGCCGTTTTTTAGTATTAGTATAAAAATGTACATTTAGTTGAAACGTATTCCAATTGATGGAGCATCTATCTTTGCAACGTACAGTTGGGTGATCAAAAGGTGTACATTTTACTTCTATTTATTTCTCCTTAACTCACAAGAAATAGATGACTGGCAGTATTCCTGTTTTCTCAGATTTTCCTCTTTATAGCTAGTCTTCTCCCGAAATTGCTCATGAAATCCATTCTAGACCTTCCTGGTCATTCTTCCATACATCCCTCCAGCAATACCTTCAGCCACTCCGGCTGTCAGAAAAGATGCCCAAACATGCTGGTTCTCTTCTTCTCAATCATCTCCAGTAGACCGGCCATATCACTCCCCAATCATTTTAAATACATTTAAAATACAATATAACGCGGCTGATGATTGTAAAACGAAAATTAAAATTATACCGCGAATGTTTCTTTTAAAAATCGAAATCCATGTTCAAAGAGAAATAGCGACATTTCTAACTTTGAGGATGAGGTATGGAAAGGTGAAACATGAAGAGTAATGGAGAACGGAAAAATAAAAAGTGTCCAGGGGCGGGAATCGAACCCACACCCTTCTGCTTACCGGGCAGGTGCCTTGTCCACTCGTTTTACAATCATCAGCCGCGTTATATTGTATTTTAAATGTTACTTTAAATATAAGTTATGAACGGAAAAATACGTCCAGGGTAGCCGAGTGGACAAGGCACCTGCCCGGTAAGCAGAAGGGTGTGGGTTCGATTCCCGCCCCTGGACACTTTTTATTTTTCCGTTCTCCATTACTCTTCATGTTTCACCTTTCCATACCTCATCCTCAAAGTTAGAAATGTCGCTATTTCTCTTTGAACATGGATTTCGATTTTTAAAAGAAACATTCGCGGTATAATTTTAATTTTCGTTTTACAATCATCAGCCGCGTTATATTGTATTTTAAATGTTACTTTAAATATAAGTTATGAACGGAAAAATACGTCCAGGGTAGCCGAGTGGACAAGGCACCTGCCCGGTAAGCAGAAGGGTGTGGGTTCGATTCCCGCCCCTGGACACTTTTTTATTTTTCCGTTCTCCATTACTCTTCATGTTTCACCTTTCCATACCTCATCCTCAAAGTTAGAAATGTCGCTATTTCTCTTTGAACATGGATTTCGATTTTTAAAAGAAACATTCGCGGTATAATTTTAATTTTCGTTTTACAATCATCAGCCGCGTTATATTGTATTTTAAATGTTACTTTAAATATAAGTTATGAACGGAAAAATACGTCCAGGGTAGCCGAGTGGACAAGGCACCTGCCCGGTAAGCAGAAGGGTGTGGGTTCGATTCCCGCCCCTGGACACTTTTTATTTTTCCGTTCTCCATTACTCTTCATGTTTCACCTTTCCATACCTCATCCTCAAAGTTAGAAATGTCGCTATTTCTCTTTGAACATGGATTTCGATTTTTAAAAGAAACATTCGCGGTATAATTTTAATTTTCGTTTTATTTTAAATACATCTCCATTGCTTACTCCGGTAGTCCATAGTATTATCAACATTCGGAACAATCACCATATCTCTAAACTCAATTTACCATCCTAATACTTATTTTTCATCTATTCCCATCAACAATATAAATCTTCCGAGCGACCACCTCTTCCTTGAGGGACCATCTTTGTTAAATCAAAGCTGTCTAAACTAATCCAACATTCAGTGAGTCTGTAATTCCAGGAAAGACCAGCAATAGTAATGTTTTATAGGTAGTCACTGATTGAAGGGGTTGTATGAAGCCGAGAATTATGATGACAAATAATAACACACGGTAATGATAATAAAATTCATAATTTAAAGATTTTACTTTTAAATTTTCGTTCTAGATTCATTCGTATATTAGAAATTCCTCAATCTACGTATATATGTATATAAAAGTAAAATTTTACCGGTTGGTTGTTATTTATGGGGGACAAAAATTCTTCTCTTTCGCTCAGATAATAATGAGTAAAGAGTGAGAGACATAAATAAAATTATAGCTCAAAATTCAATTAGCTTATATATTTGTAATTTTATTTTGAAAAAAAAAAAGTTTCAAATGCTATATAAACTCGGTTAAAAATGTAATCGAGGAAAACCTGAGCATTGCCCTGGTCATTCATTCCTCCAGTATTTTAAATAATAAAATTTTTTTTGAAATAATTGTAACACATACACACGTATTTTCTAGGGGATTGTTTAGCCATCACTTTGCTACACAGGATTCTGGATCAAACAAATATATAAGGGGATCCGATAAGTGTTAATCTAAAACCCCGTCGTATTATATAGATTGTATTATTATAGTTATTAGATTTTTATTCTCGAAAGTGAAATACTAGCTGAGAACGACAAGAATTATTGCTATATTTTTCTATCAATTTATAGCCCAATTAACTGCTGCTGAAAAAAATTGATAACTAAAAAAAATAAAAAGCTATAAAATTTGTGGGTAATTTATTTCTATTATCTACGGTAAATCTAAAAAAAAATACAAATAATACATTTCATACACTTTATAAAGTTATTTTCCAGAAGAATTTATATTATTTTTATATATGGGTAGTATAAATGTGTGTGGCGCTTTTAGCGGCGTTGGGGGAGAAAAATCTATTGAGATTTAGTTGATATTTTCGATTAGAGATGGCGCCACGGGTTCCGTGTCCTCGCCATCTTACTGCGGAATGAGTGAGGGTGGCGATGGAGACCAGGTACGTTTGGTCAAAATTATCCTTGCTCTAAATATCTTTTGATTGGGATTTCTTTGACGGTATTATGCAAATGCTCTACCTCTTTGCATATAGCTTCTATAAATACAGCCATTGCTTTGGAATTATCTTCAATACATTGGCATAATTGAAACCTAAACAACACATTAATCTATTTATTTCTCTTCTCTCTAAAATGTTGGAATTGGAGAATCTCACTTCTAACTATGTAAATTAAATCTTCCATATTGCATATATACCAAATCTTTCTATGATTCATATAATCAATTTGTTATTGTATTAAAATAATTAATTAATTAAGGGAAAAATATTAATACATGCATAGTTTAATGAAATTGATTTTAAAAAAGCAATTACTATTTAAATTGAATATATATGATTCCTATATGTCTATTTCCTATAAACAACAAAAATGAATTCTATATAAACAAATCAATTCAATAAGCAATTAAATATATTTCCCTAAAAATGTATGAGGTAAAAGATTTAATACTTTTGAAAACAAAATTTGATAAAATGTCAAAATATTCTAAGTTAGATATACATTGCTAATATGTGTTGGAAAAATATATATTTACTATAATATACCACAAATATATATATATATATATATATATATGAATTTCACATTTTATATTTATAAACTATATCCCCATTATAATTAAAAAAGACTAAGGTATATAAAAAAGCTATATAATATATATTATATGTAAATTATATAAAATATGAATTTATGGACATATATTTACACAGTATGCATTTATTTTTAAACTAATTATATTTAAGTCATATTTACATATATATTTGCCCCTTCTATCTGTTTCTAAATAAATTTGCAAATTGAAAAAAAAAAGAGACATTTTTCAAACACACATTTCTATTTTATATATATATTTATAATAGAGTATCATAAAATCATATTGTGTATAATCCTATATTGTCGGGGTGGGATTGATCATTTTATTGTGTGTATATAATACAATGCAAACATCTCAATGCAAAATACATATACAAATCAATAAGCTTGCGTGTATACTTTTGTCCAACATACTTGTATTAGATGGAAAATTTGCCGGGAGGAAATTAATTCATAGAAGCAATGGGCGCTTCTCCCGTCAAAATAAACGTCAAAATCTGACGCCATCTATGTTTTGCCAATAGATTTGGCCCAGCCACATTGCCAGCAAAACACCTCTTTGGTAGATTGTGAGGATTCCATTAGATCCCGTGTGGATCTCATGGAATAAAGTCCGCCCTAGACTGACGAGGGCCATTAGCCCGAAACCATGGTCTCTAGGTGGACGCTTATCAGTTTGCCAAAGTTGGTGTTGTGGCTTTGTCACCGACCCGAGGCCGCTAGTTGCGGCGACGGTCAATAGATGGCGTCAGATTCTGACGTTTATTTTGACGGGAGAAGCGCCCATTGCTTCTATACTTGTATTAGTATATACGGGGACTTATTTTTTTTAATGGATTGAAACAGTACCACATCACAGCTTTGTAAAATTTCAGAAAACCCTACATATATACATAGAATAGGGAGTAAGCAATGAAGATCAGATGGTTAATCATTGAGATAAAGACATATCCTGATGACAATTTTCTCTTCTTTTTTCAGGGGTTTAATCGTGCCTTTTCAATGATTTATAAAGAAGCTTTTATGATTCCCTTGAATGGCCATTGAGTTGCAGCCTGCACTTTGTTGACCAGAGTCAACGGCCTGAAATATGTAAGTGGGTAGCTGCTTTTCTTGGTTTATCAAGAAAATATTGATGGCCCATATTCTGGAATACATAGCTGATGTTTATTCAGTTGATAGTGCGTTGCCATCAGTGATGATCAGTTGTATAATGAGCATATTACCAGTTTTCATCATAGAATGATGGAATTCGAATAACCGGGAAATATGCCTTATGTTATTTCTGCAGGAATTTTATTGTACAGTTATTAACTAAGACTTGGATTTCGTAGTACACGGAGGGGCATTTTAGGAAATAAAAATTATTACTTTTAAAAATAGCCATAGACAAAACGGCTGAAGATTAAGTTGGGGTCACAGCTGGGAACTCTCTTATATGCAAATGCTAGAGCATTAGTCCATAGTTGCACCAGACAATAATTTACCCGATAATTATCACACATTTAAAACATTACCCCCAGCCTTAGAATATCAGGTTAATTATTGGGATTAATTGCATATTCAGGATTTGTAACTATGATTCTTTCCAGACCTAACTCCATATTGTAGCAAAGTTTCATCTGGATACGTCAAATATATATATGCATTTATTATCATTTTACGAGTTTTCGAAAAGCCTTATCACATTATATATGCAAAAGCTACAAAATACTCATTGAACATTTATTATGTAGAACCTCTCTCTCTCTCTACTGAAGTTTGCTGGTTTGAACTACCCTGTATATATATATTTAAACACATTTTAAAATAATCATTTTTGCGTCAAGTAAAAATTGTATCAAATTATAAAACTATTTTAGAGGCGTAATATTCTTTTTAAAATAAAACAATTTCTACTGTCCTTACTGCGATGGAAAAATTAAAGGGAGGGCCTGGCTCATCAGTGGTGAACCCTCCCAGCTTTTCACCACTGATGAGCCAGGCCCTCCCTTTAATTTTTCCATCGCAGTAAGGACAGTAGAAATTGTTTTATTTTAAAAAGAATATTACGCCTCTAAAATAGTTTTATAATTTGATAACAGATGGCGCTCTAGTACATCGTAAAAATTGTATAATCGTTTAATTTGAAATATAAGAAATATTTGAATTTTAAACATATATTTTAAAATGTTTTTAGAATTAAAAAAAAAAAAAAAAAGAGACATACAGTGGGTAGCCGAAACGTCGGTAAATAAAAGTTGAAAATGTTTGGATT